GTAGAATGAAGAGACTTTACAAAGGACCACACATGAAGTGAATGTGGGGACAGAAGATCAGGAATTCAAATTTGGACATGCAAAGTTTGGTATCTATGAGCTATCCAAAAGGAAGCATTAAAATGGGGAGTGAATCTGCAGCTCATAGGTGAAATTCAGGCTGGCAGGTCAAGGAGGATGAACACAGAACTGACTTAGACTTAGCAAGTGGAGACAGTTGATGAGTTTGGCAAGACCATTTTTGCTATAATGGTGGGGGCAAAAGCCCGGTTAAGAGTGGACTTAATGGAACATGAGAAAGAATTGGAAACAGAGTTTAAAATATTTTTATTATTTTTATTTTATGTGTACAAGTGTATTGCCTGCATGTATGTGAGTTCACCCGTGTCATGCAGTGCCGCGGAGGTCAGAAGAGAGCTTTGAATTCTGTGGAACTGGAGTTAAGGACAGTTTGTAGCCACCATGTGGGTACTGGGAATCGAACCTGGGTCCTCTGCAAGAGCAGTCAGTGCTCTTAAGCGCTGAGCCATCTCTCCAGCCCCTGGAAACACAGTTTGAAAATCTTCAAAGAGTTTGGCTGCAGAAGGGGAGTAAACAGACAGATAACTGGATAGGGAGGTAGCATCAATAAAGGATGTTTGAGAGCCAGGTGTGGTGGCACAAACCTTTAATCCCAGCACTCAGAAGGCAGAGATACACAGATCTCTGTGGGTTAGAGGCCAGCCTGGTCTACATAGCGAGTTCCAGATCAGCTGGGGCTAGACGGAGACCCTGTCTCAAAAAGACAAAAGAAAGGAAGGAAGGAAGGAAGGAAGGAAGGAAGGAAGGAAGGAAGGAAGGAAGGAAGGAAAGAAAGAAGGAAAGGAAGGGAAAAAGAAAGGCAAAGAGATCCTGAAGAGTTGATTCAGTGGTTAAGAACACTGGTTGTGGGCTGGAGAGATGGCTAAGTGGTTAAGACCTGGGTTTAAATCCCAGCACCCACATGGCAGCTAAAAGCTGTCTATAACTCCAGTTCCAGGGGATCCAACAGCCTCTTCTGTCCTCCATGGGCATTGCATGACAGGGGTGCACTTACATACATGCAGGCAATGCATGCATTAAAAAAAAAAAAGGAACACTGCTGCTCTTACAGAGGACCTGGGTTTGATTCCCAGCACCCACATGGCAGCTAACAATAGTCCATAACTCCAGTTCCAGAGGATCTAGCGCCCTCTTCTGACATTCTTGGGAATTGCACCACACAGGTGCACTTACACATGTACAGGCAATTCACTCATATACATAGAATAAAAATAATTAAAAAATAAAGTAAAAGAAATAAAGGATATTGCACAATATTTATTGCATGGCTGAAGACTGATAGGAATAGACAAGGATAAACTGCTGATAGGAGAGGGAAGAGAAGGTAAACCACTGCAGCCACATCCTAGAGAAGGTGAGAGGACATGGATCTCCAGTATAAGAAGGTCCTGGCTGGAGATAGGAGTGAGATGATGGGCAGTAAGGCAGAACAGATAGGTACAGGTGCTGGTAGGGGCACTGTGTGTGGTGATGGGAGTTTAGGAATGTTCTCATCTGATTGTTGCAGTATTGACTGTAAAGTAGGATGCGGGTCATTAGCTGAGACTGATGATGAAGGAGGAAGTGTTAAAATGTTGGAAAGGGGCAAAGGTACAAAATAGTAGTGAGGGAGCAGGAAGAATAAGTGGACAGAGGAAATGTAGGCTTAAGTTCCAGGCACTGTTGAGTCCACTCAAGGTTCATGGTCATAAACTTAAAGCAAAGCCAGTCAGGGTTCTGCATGCTGTCTGCAGTCACATTCAAGTGCACAGGTGCAGATAGGGACCTGCAGCAAGTTGGATTCAGCAAAAATGAGGAAGGGAGGGATAAGGAAGTTAATTATGCAAAGGGATGATTAAAATGGGATGTAAGTTGGGTAGAAAGGAAGATAAGCATTAGAGAAGGGCAGCAGTGACATGTTGATAGGATCAGGAGAGTATAGATCAGTAAGACTGAGGGATGGGTGGATCAGAGAAACTTCTAAGAGAAATCTGTGAAGGGTAGGAGGGAATGGGCTGAGAATGGATAAGGGTTTATTGGTAAAGACATGGACTAGTGCAGACTGCTCAGTACATAATCCATAGATGGGAATCAGACTGTGCATTGCATCTTACCATATGCAACAAGCTATGTTAACAAACTAAAAGTAAACATTCAGAAACGTGGCTGCAACATGTCATCAGTGGACTTGTATTGGAAAGTCTTTGAGTTGGTTTTGGTTTTAGTACGAAGATTGAACCCAGGGTCTTATGCATGGCAAATAGTCTACCCTTGAGCTAACGTCATGAATTCTGCTCTCACCCCTTAAACTCTGTTTTGAGACAGGGTCTTGCATACTCACATAGACTGGTTTTGAACTTGTGCTCCTCTGGCCTTAGCCTCCCAATAGCTGGGATTATAGGCATGCACTCCCATTCCTTCCAGGGGAATGCCTGGGGGCTTTTTGTTTGTTTTTGGGTTTGGGGTATTTTTTTTAATCTTGTTTATTTATTAGTTTATTGTTTATTGAGTTCTGCAGAAGCATGGATCTGCAACAAATGAGACACAAACAAAAACCTGATTCTTCCATACAGCTGAAGCATAGCTTTTTTGTGCATGACCATGCATGGGGGTATCTCTGCATGGGAAGCAAGGTCATTGACAGAGAGGAGTTGGAAGAATCAGCTCCCTGAATAATGAAGTTATTATCACCTCTGTCCTTCCAAGAGAGAAGGCTGACTGCACAACTCTAGGGGGCGCCATTCTGAATGTATTCTGTGTGGACAACACATCTTCATGTCAATGTGAGTGGTCCTCTTTGAGAATTCAAGGAAGTAGCCATCTGAGAGTTCAGAGAAGTGGCCACTGTTGTCCCCATTTCACAGACCAGAAAACAAATTCAGAGTGACTAATTGTGCAAACTCACACAGCTCCTAAAGGTAAGAACCAAGGTTTGAACCTACATATGTCTCTTATGCCACATTCTACCATCATGTTCTATACCATATGGTTATGGTTAGAAGGACAGCTTCTTGAGAACCAGGGAAAGCGCCTCTTGGGAATGAACTGTGGACTAAGTGACCATGCAGCGTGTTCCAGTTTCTTTTAGAGACATGACTGGTCACAGCTTCTGCTGTGATCTATGTAGCCAATTGATGCTTAATCATGCCCATTAGTCTTTGTTGAACCTGAGGTTGGAGTGCCTTAGGAATCCAATATCCAATACTACCTCAGGATTCCCTGTCCTTTGTCTTCTCTTGCTGTAGTAATTGCTTATGAAATTAAAAACATCTTCTAAATAGTCATTGACAGGATGGTAAAATTATGAGTAATTTTAATACTTCTCAAAATGTATATGATGGATATACTATTATGATCTGTGAAGGTCTAGTACACCTCTGTGTTTGTTTGTTGCTATTTTTAGAGACAAGGTCTTGCTATGTAGCCCAAGTTGGCCTTGAACTCATAATCTTCCTGCTGATTACAGAGTTGGGCCAGTATTCCTAGCTACTTCATCTATATTTAAAACCATCTTATTTGTATAGAAGCTCTCGAGGACTCTCAGGGCTCTGATGAGGGCTGAGCGGGCTCACTGGCTTCAGAACCCAAGTCCCAGGAAGCCTCAGCATGTCCAGAAAAGTTGTGTTTACCAGGCACATAGAATGCTTCAGGAATCCAAAAACAAAGTGAACCTTCATCTCTTAGGGACTCCTGGGCTTTTTTGTCTCTGGACTCTCCTGTGGGCCTAGGCAAGTAAACATAAAAGTTCAATTGTAAAGCTCATCCCTGTGTCACAGGGCCTGTGGGTGCTGAGGTAACCTACTTCCCTGGTGTGTCTGGATGGCTTGCTAGGCTGCATCTGTGAAGGCAAGGCTGGAGCATGGCACAGGGCCTGACATAATATACAGTAGGTGCTCAATAAATGTGAGTCAAAAAAGTGAGTGAGCAACTGGCACTTGGCCTATATAGGCATCTTTAAGGTGATGTAGTTCAGTTTTTTAACCTAAGAATGTTGCTACATTGATGTATGTTAGCATGATGAAAATAATTTTTGGACTCAAATATGACTTTGTCCCAGGAAAGATATAGAAGGAATTAAAAAATCCACCCAAATAAGCAAATATAACTGGACCAGGCATGATATGATCACCAAGTCTAGCTCTAAAGAATCAAAAGTAGAAAACGGCAGCAGAATTTTACTTTTAAAAAATAGTGTTGCAAATCACAGTTTTAGTGTGGTGGGGAGAAACGCCGTGAAAATGCTTTAATACGGTAAAATGCTAATCATCACAGCTATCAACCGAGATTAATATAAAGCCACTGGTTGGCTCTAGAAGTCTAACTAGAGTTTTCAAATGCATGCTGTTAATTATTGTTATTAATGTGAGGTTCAACACCTGATCCCCGTTTTTGGAAACTGTCGGGGGGGGGGGTTAAAGTATGCTTAAAAACAGAGAACTACCAGATAGAAGTTGGCTATTCTTTTCTTCCATCTTGCCAAATTGCTCATTTCATCAATAAGAAATATGAGGCTGACATGCCAGGCAAAATAGATACACAGTAAATTTCATATCATTTATTTTCATAAATTTGTATTCCAGTCAGATGGGGAATGTTTCAATTTCAATATGTCCCTCATTGTTGCTAAAGGTCAGAAATCATTCCAACGACTATGATAAACATCAGATATTTTTCTCTAGTTTGTCTAAAAAAAAAAAAAACCTATAAAAACTAGCAAAAGCTTAACTATTATATTTAAGTCAAGAATTCTTCTTCCACATCTGAAGATGAAATAAAATACAGAAGACAGTTACATCCTAGTTTTTATTATATCTTTTGAAGTAATTTGTATATACCTTTTAAATAATTCCAAGTGCCACAAAAAACAATGTTAATAGCTCAAAATCAAAAGTTAAAAGAAATACTCTAAGAATAATTTTTTAAATCTTTTTCTCCTCAAGCGTTTTACGATGGGATAATGAGACAGATGTCTCTCAACTGGAAGGACATTTTGACATTGTTATGTGTGCTGACTGGTAAGTACATAAAAATCATAAAACTCCTGTTAGGGGGAAAAATAGCTTTGCTAGAGTAATTGGGCTGTGCTGATGGTAAGCAAAGCCAACAAATGAAGCACAAAGCCACCTTAACCTCAACAAATTAATATTCATCTCCATGTGACAGTTATAAGGTAGTCTTCTGTCACACAGTAACTTCTACCACATTATTTCCCAAAGATTGATTTTGAGAAGCATTTCCATTTTCTGGAATTGCTTCTGTTTCATGCTTGACGTATCAGTAAATGGACGACTTAGGCAAATTGCAAATAATTATGGCTCGGAGAGGAATAGTCTGGAGAAAAAGGAGTTTATCAACACAAACAGCTCAATTAGCTTACTTCTTAGGAGAGATCTGTCTATTGATATAAGGGAATATACATGTGTACACACACATATACTCTCCAGCAAATAAATGTGTCTATGGAATACCTTTGGGGAAATCACCTTCCTTAAAGTGTATGTTTGGTATCTAATATTTTCAGTGTGCTTGGGGCTGATAATTAATTGTACGTAGCACAAAGATTATAAAATTGCATTTTATTCTTATGCAAATCATAATACCCAAATCTATCAGGTATCTGTTTTTTAAAAATAAATTTCCCTTATTTTGTCTTCTGCCTTAACCCATTCTACTTATTTGTTAGTGAAAGTTGATTCTAAGTTGCAGGATAAATATGCATAAGACCTTCATAATTATTCCAACTAATCCTGTATATGTCTTCATTTGATTTGAGTAATTATTTCAGCATGTGGAAAACACAGAGCATTCAGAAGTATAGCCCTGCTCTGAGGAAGATCTTATTTGTAGCCTCACCATTACAGTTATTGTTGTGGGTTTGAAACCTAGCAAGTTCAGATTCCAAAGATATATTTATTGAGGAGCCCAATCATAAGATCCACAGCCCAGAGCAGACTTGGTCTGGAGAAGAGTTGATAAAATTTTCAGGAAGTAGTTTTAAAGTCATCATTATCTGAATACAATTTCCAGTGTACAACTTTTGTACCAAAGTCAACACAATTAGATTTGCTTTTCTTCCTGTTTTCTTGTACTTCTTAATTAATAGTAATTTAGCTGAGATTTTCTGGTTTTTTTATGGCCCCTTTAGTCTCTTTGTGCTGATTTCCCAAATTTGTGTTCCAAATATGGGAGAAGGCTCGATTTCTGACCAATCATTGATGATGTGCCTCCATGCTACTCCCTCCCCTCATCTAATCAAAAGAAGGAGCTAAAACCTCACCATGTGGTTTATGCAAGTAATTTAGTAAATGCCTTTCCTCACAAATATGAGAAAGATCCTCCAGGTTTCATGGCACAGATAAAGATAATGCAGCCAGGATTAGATCAGATTAAGCATGGGAGTCAGATCAGACAGCAGTAGCAAGAGGGGCAGGGGCAGTGTCTTCTTGAAGGTTTAGACCTGGGTCACACCTGATGGGCTCTGATGTAAGGAAGGCCAGGTCTAGCTGACAGATTTACAGTTAAATTGTCCTTCACACAAACATCAAACGGCTTGGTTTGTCATCCCTTGTATCATGGGCACTCACACCATGTATTTGTACCAGAGACAAGCAGAGGAAGGAAGATTTAAGCTCTTTTCTGATTAATGTTCTCAGGTTAAAAATAGCAACACAACCTGTTTGAAAAATAGTCTTTTTTTTCCCCCCTAGCCGACAACAGGCTCTTATAGAACTGATAAACATAATGCATATTCAGTTTAAGGTTTTCATTACAGATATATAACATAATACAATCTTACACACACACACACACACACACACACACACACACACACACACACATCTGGTAGCTGTGTGAGAATGATTTATGGATTCAAATGAACTAAATACCCGAAGCTTCATTTTGTAAATGGCTTCTCTATGCATGAATTGATGTGGAGGTTTTCTTTTCCTGGTGTTGTAAGTGCCTGAATGTCAGCCTGTTTGTAATTTCCCATTTGTAAATGTAAAACATTAAGCTACTCTCACTGCGATGCTGATATTATTTCCAAAAGAAATGCTTTGGTAATGGCCTCTCTTCATATTCACAGGGATGGGTAAGCTGCTTAGAAACTTAGAAAGTACAGTGGTGTGTAATATGCGTGTTATGCATCTAGCATCAAAAAGCACAGGATTTCACTCGTTCTTTACGTGCTGTTGGTTTGGTGTTGCTCCACAGGAGTTATTACATGGATGCTGCTCCTAGGGGCAGGCAGACTGTGCCGCATTATTTAGAATGTCACGGAGTGAGGAAAGAAAGCTCTCTGTAGACACCACCTCCAAAGATGAAACCTGAAATACATGATGCCAGAAAGAGATGCCACACAAATAACATCATGTTAAGTCTCATTCCATCCTTTGGATTGTCAGTCAATGAGATCTGGATTGGGCCATAGGAATATGAAGCAAGAGTTGGAGTTCAAATATTAGGTGCATAGATTAAATTCTTATTGAAGCATTTCCAGCAAGGGTGGCATTGTCTGATTCCCTGAGTAGCTAACCAGTACTGCTTGATCCCATTTACATGAAAACAAGCTCTATTCACAAAGCTATTCCAAACCCACATTGTGGTTCAAGTAAAATGCACATGATTATGGCAAGTGGTGATATGTTTATGTTCTTAAATCATTCATACATTCATATATTTACATTCAAACATTCATAAACCTGTGGGCAGTAGGAGAAATAACTTATTTCCCAGAAGAGACAGTTTCTTAGTTCAGACCCAAATTGAGTCGCTCAACTAGATTATAAAATAAAGAGGCAAACTGTGAAAGCTAGTCATTATTTCACCATTCAGCATTTTTGACAATGAAAAATAGTTTCATGGTTCAACAGTTCCTAAATAACTTGTAAAATGTCAACTTTGAAATAAACAGAAAGAAACATCGAGGTACAGTCACACCTGCAAAAAGAGGCTGTTGACAAACATCAAAATATTAGAATATTTAACCACAGGGGTAGGGAAAACCTGCCTATTAACTTCCTCCATTGACTTGTTTAATGTTGAGTTTAATAGAAGGATTCCTTTCTGCCAGAATGCAGTCCAGCCCGGTCCTTGCTGCATTCAGAATAGCGAGTTGCTTGTTAATTTTAAGCCTGCCTTTCTAGATTCTGGTTCAATGTAGTATAATCCAAGGGTCTGAAAGTAACAGGTTTTGTTTTTGTTTTTGTTGTTGTGTTGCATTGTGCTTTTTTTGTTTTGTTTTGCTTTATTTTTTGGTTTTGTTTTTCATCCAATGAATGCTTCCATTTGCTGTTTGACGGCTCTCGCGTTTATTGTAGCTCTGCAAATACAGAAATGACTTTGGGCATTTGAATTCTCAAAGGCCTTAGAAAAGATGTCTGAAATGCTGACTCATAAAGCAGGGTACACAGGACAGTCAGTGCATCTATGTGCACGAAGCCCAAGATTTTGGAGAGGACTGGTGGAAAGCACAGGGCCTGTCACCTTCCTGCGCTTGCCCTCCCAGCATCTCTACACTGATCGCATACTACGGGTTCCTATTTCCATCCTTTTTACTTTCCTCTGATGAAAAAGTTTGGTTTTTAAGCAATTTTTTTTTCCTCAAAACGGAAATACCATGGGCTCTAAAAGTTCTTTGTCTTCCAGAAGAGGATCTTTCCAGATAGATGAATAGCTCTAAATCACAACTCACAGCCCCTAGCCCCCTAAAGATTTTTAGCTCAAATGTAGTCAGCTGTTTGACCTCGCACCTGAGAAGACTCAGTTTCTGAGAAAAATCCCTGAAGTGCCCTAGATCTCACAACTAAAGGGACAGAGTCAAGTGAGGTTAGAACACAGCATTCCATGGACGCTCCCTCCAAAATCAGTTGACAAACACAGAAAGAGGCCATCCCTCTAATGAAAAAGTCAAATCTAAGACCATGAATTCCACCTAGTACATGTCACCTTGAAGACTGTATAGGGGCCTTCCTTTCTGTGGATAGTGACAGAGAGAGACATCTCCTTATGCTCTGCACTAATGAATTTCCCTAGGAGAAGAATTGTAGATGCTCCATGCTCTGGATACAGTTCAGATTCTCGGGGATGTGATGAAAAAGGTTCAACACCTTTCCTTTGTCAGAAAATCTGATTCAGATCAATGGAACAAAGCAGTTGCTGCTGCCACAAGCAATGACCTGATGGGTGTGTGTGTGTGTGTGTGTGTGTGTGTGTGTGTGTATGTGTGTGTGTGTGTGTATTTTAATGGCCAAACTGGACCGTAAGTGTATTTTGGTCCGTAACTGAAGGGAGAGTTGAAATGGTATCTCCATCCCCATCACTGACCCACTCAGCCTTTTTAAATAGATCCACTTAAGCTACTGCTGTTCTCTGAGCCATTAGGACTTATTTAAGGGGTGAATTTTCAGGAGATTACATATCACTCCCACTAAAGCACATTGAAATTGCTCAGATGACGTACCCTACAAAGCGTTATGAATTCTGCATTGAAGCTAAGTAGAAAAGTGAGCTTGCTTGGAATAAAGATCTTTTAGAGAACTACAAGAATTACTATTACTTTTGGGAAATTTGATTTGGAACGATGGGGTAGATGCCATTACCTTTGAAATGACTGTGTTTGGAGTGTGTGCCGGGTGTTAAGCTGCATTTTGCAGTTTGCTATGATGTTAACCTTTTTGTCACCATTACCAACATGCAGTGGAGAAAGCACTCTGTCAGGGCGTGCTGGAGGCTCAGCTGGCAAGGTGCTGTTCATTCTTTTCTAACAATCTCACCCGCTCTTTGCAAATGAGGAAATAAAGAGGTGTCCTTTACTTAGCTGCTGCATATCCAACCAGCCAGAGGTGTCCTGTAGGCCTATGTGACCAACACGGATATTTCCTCTGTTATTTTCTAAAGACAAACTGTTCAGTTATTTAAACTGTGGATATTACCTCCCAAAAGAATAAGATATAGCATCCCAAAGAATACACTTTGTAAAAGTCCTTTTTTTTTCAGTTACAGTCTAATTTCTTTCACATCAATCTTTTTAAAAATTATTTATTTAATAACCACATACTTAGAAGCATTTCATTACATCAGCATTGACATATTATGCTTATATAATCTTTTACTCATTATAAACTCTATAAGACATAAAATTAAACGAGATTCCAACGTTTAAAAAAGATCTCCATTTCATTTTAGAATATATTGTCCCTTGAAGAAAGACTCATTGTTTTTGCCACTAACAGAGATGCTGGCTCATGCATCTCTAATCTGTATGTATCTGATTATTACTAGTCATAATCGATTGTACTTGGA